AGCCTGTCTTTGTTTGTTTGTTTGTTTTGTTTTTTTGTTTGTTTTGTTTTTTCGAGACAGGGTTTCTCTGTGTAGCCTTGGCTGTCCTGGAACTCACTCTGTAGACCAGGCTAGCCTCGAACTCAGAAATCCGCTTGCCTCTGCCTCCCAAGTGCTGGGATTAAAGGCGTGAGCCACCACCGCCCTGCGAGATCCTGTCTTAAACAAAGCAAACAATAACAACGAGAGAGAGAGAGAGAGAGAGAGAGAGAGAGAGAGAGAGAGAGAGAGAGAGAGGAGAGAGAGACAGACACAGACTTGTCTGATTCTCTTTGATCTGTGCATTCAGTCTCATGATGTGTTTCTTGCTACTGCTGCTGCTTGGTACCAGGCATTAAACCTAGAGATTGACCTCGGGGACTGAACTCAGGGCCTCATGAATCCCAGGCAAGTGTCCTACCACTGAGCAGCGTGCCCAACCCCATACGTATTTCTTTGTTTTATTTTGGTTTGCTTTTAGATTTTTAAATTTTTTTATGTTAAAGGCAGGTTTATTGGGAAGCTGCTTTCGGGCGGTCGAGTTCACTGACCCCAAGGACGAGACCAAGGAAGTCACCATGGGGAGGGAGAGGGAGACAAAAGGTCACTCAGAGAGAAGAGGAAAGAGAAGAAAGGAGAGCTGATTGGTTTTTTTTTTAAGACACGTTCTCATGTTGCTCAGGCTACCGTCAAATGTGTTCTGTAGATGCAAGTGGATCCTAGCTCCACCCCCAGTGCTGGGATTGAGGAGGTGTACCACAGAGCTGCTTTATGTTGTGACAGAGACGGAACCCAGGGCTTAGCGGGTGCGGGGCAAGTGTTTTATCACTGGGCCATAGCCACAGGCTGCGGCTGCCTAGATGTTAATTTTCTACTCTGATTTATAAACAGTGCTACTTTATTTATTGTCCAGCTCATGTTCTAGCCTTGGCCACTGGAAGGTCCTCTCTTCTTGTTATTTCCAGCCTACTCTACCCCCCCTTCCTCCTTCCACACTCCAGCTTGCGTGGGGGCCTTCTCAGAGCCCTGGAAGCGGTAAACTTAAATACCCGCATGACCCTAATCTTATTGAGGCCCTGGTTTTGCTCAAAGGTTATGACCTCTGAGCTGGCACGATGGTTCAGCAGGGAAAGATCCCTCCCACTGAGCTTGGTGACTGGAGTTTGATCCTAGGGCCCCTCGTAGAGGGAGAGAATTGACTCCTGTGAAGTTGTCCGCTGACCTTCATATAGGCATTGTGGCACAGATAAATAAATAAATAAATAAATAAATAATCAACCCAGGCTCTCCCACTGGCCGTGACACAGGCTCAGGAGAGCCAGTCCTGCCTCTCACTGGCAACTGCATAGTGGTGGCATGGGGGCCCAGTGGGGGTCCAGGCTGACTAACTCAGCTATCATCTAAGCCCAGATCTCGGGCTTTGAGTTGGCTCGACCCAATATCTATCCCATCTGTGAACTGCGGGAGTATGTGAAGGGGCTGGTCTTGTGGAATCATAATCACAGGACCGAGCAGTGGTGGCACACACCTTTAATCCCAGCACTTGGGAGGCAGAGGCAGGCGGATTTCTGAGTTCGAGAGTTCGAGGCTAGCCTGGTCTTCAGAGTTCCAGGACAGCCAGGCCTACACAGAGAAACCCTGTCTCGAAAAACCAAAAAAAGAAAAAAAAAAGAAAAAACAAATATAATAATAATAATTACAGGACATCCATGACTCTGGGCAACAGCAGGACACAGGACATCCGAGAGGAATGTTGATGGTGGAGAGAGAGACAGAAAGAGAGAGAGAGAGAGAGAGAGAGAGAGAGAGAGAGAACCAGGTATAGGGGCACACGTCTATAGGTTCAACTCTTGCAGAGCAGATGCAAGCAAATCTCTGTGAGTAAAGCTAGCCTGAACTACAAGGTGAGAATTTAAGAAGAAGAAGAAGAAGGAGGAGGAGGAGGAGGAGGAGGAGGAGGAGGAGGAGGAGGAGGAGGAGGAGGAGAAGAAAGTGTTTTGTTGTTGCTTTTTTTTTTTCTTTTAAGTCCTGACCTCAGAGGGCCCTCTGGACTCCTCAGCCTACAGCTAGACACTGTATCATTTTGGTCTTCAGGGTTTCTTTTCTCTCTTAGCATGCACCCCAGCACAGCCACAGAGTGGCCAAGGGAGTCACCATTACACATCTGGGGTCAACCCTAGGCTGTGCGGTGGGAGCCTCCTAATTCTGGAACTCTGTATTAGCCTCTTACCCCACCCTACGTGTCCCCCCGATTCCTGGACAAAGGAAACTGTAACAAGATTTTTCAAAATTAACTGTTGGTGCCTGGCCTCAGTGCCAAGAGCAGGACAGGAGTTACCTGGTGCTTGACCAATTCTAGTACAGCTTCTGTCTTCCAGGGATAGATGGGGAAGCAAAGGCTGAAGGACTTCCCCACCGTCACAGAGTGACAGATGGTGGCTGGGACTTCCCCATGGTCACAGAGTGGCAACTGGTGGCTGGGATCTCCCTGGTGGCCTGGGATTTCAGAGCAAGTGTTGATTTTTTATTTTGTTTTGTTTTTACGGTAGAGAGGACTGGGCTGGAGTGGGGCAGAGTGTCCAGGCAAGGGCTCTACCAGAAGCCCTGTCCCTACCCCCACCCTTTTTTATTTCATATTTTGAGACAATGTCATTCTGCCTAAACGACCCAAGCTTCCCTTGAGCTCACTGTGTAGCCCAAACAGGTCTTGAGTTTGTAATCCTCCTGCCTCAGCCTCTTACGGAGCTACTATGGTAGGCCTATACAACCAGGCTTCGTTGCTATTTTGCTTAAAACCTGCTGAACAGATCCCCTGAACAGATGATGTTTCAAGAATCTTCTGTTGAACCATTAAAGAGCAGAACCGTCCAATCCTGCAATGTCCGAAGATTGTTCAGGAATAGCTAAGGTAGTAATAGTCACTCAAAAACATTATTACGGGGGTTCATTCTGCTTCACAGATAGAAGGGTGTTCTTGAATATTTGTGTCTGTTGGGGGGCACGCCCGTGTCATACCACACATGTGGAGGTCAGAAGGCAACCGCGCTGTCTGTCCGTATCTTTCATCTTGTTTTGAGACAGTCTCTTGTTCATTGCGGTGTTGTCCAGGCTCGCTGATCCACGAGCTTCTGGAATTCTCCTGTATCTTGTGAACAGGAGATTACAGATGTGCACCCCATTGTCTGGCTTGTAAGTGGGTTCTTGGAATTTGAACTCAGCTCCTCACCCTGTGTCACCGAGCCGTCTCCCAGCGTACAGTATAAGCATTCTACATGTATTAATCTAATCCTATGGATTATTCTAGATATAGAACTGTCACATCACCATGCCAAATAACAGAAAAGAAAAGGGAAGCACAGGGAAGTTAAGTACCTTGCCTGAAGGTGCACAGCACCACAGTGGCAGTTGGCTCTACAGGAGGTTCTTGCTCTGGACTAAAACTCAGCTATGCTTGCCCATGCTTTTCTTGCTCAAAGGGTAGGGGCATAATCTGGGTAGTTTCTGCCCTGCCTAGAAGGACAGGGATTTGCTGCAGGATGGGCATCCTGACAGGCTGGGGCATGGAAGGACTTCTCACTCTTGCCCTACCTATCTGCCCAGCTCAAAGTAGCTGCCCTGAGATAACCCTGCCTGTGGGCATGTGTGGGTGTCCGTGGCGAAGCCACTGCAGTTGAGCAGAACAAAGACACTTGCTGTTTGCTACATCGGAGAGATGCTGCGGAAGTAGGCTGGCTGTGGAGGGGAAGTTCTGCAGGAGAAGGCTCTTGGGAACCAAGAGTGCAAGCCTTTGCCAGCAGACTCTCCACAGGGCAGCCCCCACCCTTCCAGGCTAGGATTTCTTTTCTCTCCCATGAAGTGGGGCCGGTGCTTCCAGCAGTACCCACATCCAGAGAGAAGGACCATGTGAGCTCTCAGCATGGCTTGCCTATGGCAAGTCCTCTTCGGGTTCCTTCCGATTACCCACCATAGGCAGTTCGTTTTATTTACAGTTCAAAGGGAACCTGAGATAGCTTCCTCTTACACACACATGACAACAGTTAAAAATAGAGAGAGAGAGAGAGAGAGAGAGAGAGAGAGAGAGAGAGAGAGAGATCAGAAACCAGAGAGGGGAAGGCAGGAGGCCACTCTATCAGAAACTTGAAGAACGAGGACCACTCTACCCGAATGTCAGACTTAGTTTGCGTTTTGGGGGTACCCCCACCCCGAGTGAAAAGGAGGGGTACCCTAAGTTCCTGTGGTTAGGCTCTCAATAAAGCAGAGTATTTGGGTTTTTAGGAAGGTGGAATTTTCTTAGGCAAAGAGACTCACAGGGACAGCAAAGCAAGGCAGCAGGCTGGAGGAGCTGGGAAAGGTCGGCTGCTTACTGACTGCGGTTTCCTAAAGTGACTTATTAATGAGGAGTCTTAATGATGAAGCTAATTGCCCTGGGCTGCCCTGGGAATCAAAAAGGACCGTGCCAAAGCACAGGCCGGCACATGGCAGCATCGTGCGTGGTAAAGGCATAAGTTAGATCATTGTCGCCCCTTCCTACCCGTTTAAAACGGTTTTAGCATGTTTGTTTGTATATGTGTGAGAGAGATGGTGGTTGGTGATGGTGACAGTGACGAAGTTCAGAGGACAGCTTTGGGGAGTCAGTTCTCTCTTTGCACCATGAGAGTTTGGGGGATTGAACTCAGATCATCAGGTTTGGTAACAAGTGCTTTCCTCCTCCCCAGTTCCTCGCCAGCTTTTTGTTTGTTTGTTTGTTTGCTTTTTGAGACAAGGTGTCCTGGCTAGCTTTACGTCAACTTGACCCAAGCTAGTGTGATCACAGTGAAGGGCACCGCAATTGAGAAAATGCCTTTATGAACTCTGACTCTAGGCAAGCCTGTGGGGCATTTTCTTAATTAGCGAATGCCCAGCCCCTTGTGGGTGTGGCCTATCTTGAGCTGGTGGGTGTGGCCTCTCGAAGAAAGCAGGCGGAGCAAGCCAGTGAGCAGCATCCCTCCGCGGTCTCCCGGTCAGCTCCTGCCCTGTTTGAGTGTCTGTCGTCTGTCCTGACTTCCCATGGTGATGAACTGCGATGTGGAAGGGTAAGCCAAGTTAACCCTTTCCTCTTCAAGTCGCTTCGGTAATGATGTTTCATCACAGTAACCCTGACTAAGATTAGTTGGTACCAGGATAATGGGGTGCTGCTGTGGCAGACCTGACCGTGCTTTGGGGAGGATTATGGAAGGACTTTGGAACTTTGGGCTAGAAAAGCCACTGAGAGCTTGGTGGGAGCTTGGAAGTTAAGAATGTTGGGGACAGGACAGACGATGGAGGCCTGGCTTATGGAATTTCAGAGGAAAGTTTAAAGGCTCTGTCAGGGATGTTTGGTATTTTGAATTAAGATTCCGTCCTTCTGGATAACGGGCTGAAAAGTCAGCTGTGGTTAACGAGAAACCAGCACCACTGAAGTGAAACCTTTGTGTTACTGACACTGGTCAGCTGGAACTAAGAAATTAGCGTGATTGAGAAGAGACCAGCATCATTGAGATGAAATCTTCTGGCAAGTGTTTCCTGAGAGCATAGAGAAGCTGTGGTTCAGAGGAAACCAAGGTTATACCGTGTTTTGGCAGGCAAACTTGGTCCTGTGAGAGTCAGCCAGGTGGTACTGGTTTTGAAGGCATGAAGGGGTCGTGGAGAGCAGCTGAGGCTTCGCACTGTGAGAGGCCAAGAGAGGCCGTTGGTGAAGAAGGTGCAACCTCGGTAGCAATTGAAGGCTGGAGATTAAAGAGGTCATGCAAGCCAGTAAGCAGCACCCCTCCAAGGCCTCCATATCAGTTGCCTTCAGATTTTTGTTCTGTTTAAGTTTCTGTCTAGGCTTCCCACGGTGGTGGAATAGCCATGTGGAAGTGTAAACCAAATTAAAACCCTTTGGTCATGGTGTTTTGTTACATCAGTAGTAACCCTAAGACACAGGTTGTCACGCAGCCCATGCTGGCTTTGAGCTTGCTGTACAGCTGAGGATGACTTTGGACTTCTCATCCTCCTGTCTCCACCTCCTAAGTGCTAGGATGATAGACATCTGCAACAGTGTTTAGTTTATGGTGCTGGGATTGAACCCGGGATTTGTGCATGCTAGGCAAGCCCTCTACCAATGGAGCCACATTCCCCAGCTCCCAGGAGATTATTTTGGCAGTAGCAAATGTATTCCTCATCTGACTGTCTCATGAAGAGCTAGATCAGGAGCAGTGGTTAAGTTGCAGCCTAGCCAAAAGCAGCCTCGGGACTGGTGTTGGCACGGTCTGTGGTCTCAGCCAGCACATTCTCTGCCATGTTCTCTCCCTGTGGCTTTGCCAGGTTCTCCTTGGAGGGCGGAAACCTCTGTCATCATCAGATCCCTTGGGTGGAAGTTAGGCTGTGAGCCTGGACGTCCTAGTGAGAAGGACATCTTGGAATAGACCTAACAGTCCCGTGAATGGGACCTGTCCCTCCACTCAGTCTCTGGATTTCTCCAGTTATGTCCAGAGGCTGCAGCCTCCATCTGAGAGAGCAGGGCCATAACTTGCACCAAATTCTCTTTCCTTTCCAGACAGTAATGGAGTAGTTCCTGATGGTCCTGGTCCTGACCCTTAGTCTTAAGAGAGGCTGGGAGCAAGGACCTGCCAGCCTCTGACCATATCACACTGTATCTGTGGACCTTTCTAGAAAGCTCTAGAAGCCCATTCCCAAATACCCCCTGAGACTCAAGCCGTCGGTCCTATTTGTTCATAGGAACAGTAATAGCTACATCATGGTAGTGGGGCTTGCTTCATGGTAGAGCTGGTTCTTAAGCATGTTGAAGGCCCCAGGTCCCACCAAAATAATTGTAATAACAAGAGCTCTCTCTGGGCATGGTGGCACTGGCCTTTAAACACATCATTTGAAAGCTAAACACAGGTGGATCTCTGAGTTCGAGGCCAGCCTGGTCTATGTAGTGAGTTCAAGGACAGCCAGGGATACATAGTAAGACCTTGTCTTTTTTTTTTTTTTTTTTTGGTTTTTTGGAGACAGGGTTTCTCTGTGTAGCCCTGGCTGTCCTGGAACTCACTCTGTAGACCAGGCTGGCCTCGAACTCAGAAATCTACCTGCCTCTGCCTCCCAAGTGCTGGGATTAAAGGCGTGCGCCACCACCGCCCGGCAGACCTTGTCTTTAAAAAGAGGCTTTTTTGTTGTTATTGTTTTTTTTTTTAGAGATTTATTTATTTTATGTATATGAGTACACTGTTGCTGCCTTCAGACACACCAGAAGAGGGCATTGGATCCCATTACAGATGGTTGTGAGCCACCATGTGGGTGCTGGGAATTGAACTTGGGACCTCTGGAAGAGCAGTCAGTGCTCTTAACCACTGAGCCATCTCTCCAGCCCTTGTTTTTTGTTGTTGTTGTTTTTGTTTTGTTTTGTTTTTAAAGCACTTAATTCCCGGCCTGAGCTGAAAAGGAGTTAAGCTAGCCTCACCTTCTCCAGGGGATCCTAGAAAGGTAGGAAGCTCCCTGGTAATTACAGGGAAGCCTAGCTCTCCACTGCATTTGTTTGTTGGAGACAGATGACAGGCTCACTACATAGCCCTGACTGGTCTGGAACTCACTGTGTAGAATAGGATAGCATCGAACTCACAGAGATCTGTTTGTCTCTCTGTCTCCCTAGTGTTGGGATTAGAGTGGGTATGCTCCAGCCAAACACTGGATGTTCTTTATTTTTGAGATGAGGGTCTCTTTAGCCCTAGCTGTCCTGGAACTCAATACATAGACCAGGTTGGCTTTGAACTCAGAGAGCTATGTGCCTCTGCCCAAGTGCTGAGACTCAAAGCAAGTGCCACCATGCCTGGCTAATGGTTTGTTTTTTTTTTTGTTTTTTTTTTTTGGTTTTTCGAGACAGGGTTTCTCTGTGTAGCCCTGGCTGTCCTGGAACTCACTCTGTAGACCAGGCTGTAGACCAGGCTGTCGTCGAACCCAGAAATCCGGCTGCCTCTGCCTCCCAAGTGCTGGGATTAAAGGCGTGCGCCACCACTGCCAGGCCTGGCTAATGTTCTTAAAGGATCTTTGAGACTTGCAGGCTGTCTCTGTCACTCTTCTGCACTGGCTTCTAGAGCGCCTAAGACCTGCAGCCACTCACCCTGTAGTCTGGCCTATCCAGGTTTTGTTTTTGCTTTGTTGTTTTCTGAGTGACTGTGGCGATGCCCAGGGCTCTCCGGACCTTTATTAGGCAGTGTGCCTTTGTGTCAAGAGAAGACTTTATTTTTTGAACAGTGCGAGGTGCTGCAGGGTTCAGAGGCACCTGCAGCGCTACCCTCGCAGTGCCCGCTGGGCTTGGGGCGGGGCTGGAGAGGCGTAGGGGACCAGTTGTTTTTCCTGTTATCTGTAGAAAGGAAACAAAGTGGGAAGTGGAGAGTGCCGACTGTCAGTAGGCGGGCCCGTCCCGCTGCGCGCCCCGCCTCTGGCTCACTCGCGACTTGCCTTGGGGCTGCCAGCTCCGCTGGCCAAGCTGCTGGTCCGGTAAGTGCTCTCCACGGGATTCAGTGTAGAGATGGGAAGAAGACTGGTTTGGAAGGTGGGGAGGGGGTTCGGGGAGCGCGGGCCGCTCTTCACGCTCTTCACACACATAGCCAGTGCGCCTTGAATTTGGGCGCCTCCTGGCGTCTGGCAAGGGGACAGTGGATCCCTCCAGAGCCGGTCTGCGGGGACCTGGGTCTGGGTTTTGGTCGTCCTTTGTGCCAGCATCTCCCCTGAACCAGCATCTCCCTTTCACCTGTCTCTGTGCGCCCCGATCTCCGGACAGGGGCTCTCCGGCCGGGCAGTGAGGTCCGTGTTGTGGTCTAGGCGTCTGGATAATGCGGTGAGGCTGAGCCGGAGCAGGGTTTGCTAGTCCAGGCGTGGGGACAGGGGAGCGTTTAGATCCTCTGCACCCTGGCCCTGCGGTTCTCCCAGCCTCTTCACGGAAGGTCAGGACTGGCTAGGGGCAGACACTGACGTTTCTGGGCCCTCCTTCCCTCTCTCTCCCCACTGCCTGTGCCGCTTGCCGCAGTTTTGGACCCAGGCGAGGGCTAGATCACTACAGATCTGCGGCTGAGCCCGGGTTAAGGCGGCAAAACCGCCTCCAGCTTTGCATTTCCGGACTTTTTTAAAAAAATACTCTTGCCGGTAAATCAGCCTGAATGGGGCTCCTTTTTTTTTTTTAATTTAGTTTCCTGTTCTTATTTATACTTCCTCCTCTGCACCTCATCCTTAAGCGATAGGGAGACCAGCATGACCTTTTGTGAGCCCCAGGATGGGGGTACTACTAAGGTGGCCATCCACTTTGGTGGCGGACAGGTAGAGACTCCAGAACCCTGGACTAATGGCAGGGGAGGACACGGGTACTCTGGGGTAAGAGTGGAGGCTGGGGATGGGCTTTGCAATGTCAGGGTATGAAGTGCCCACATACCGGGGCCTCATCTAGCTCCCTTAAAAATCCCTCCTGATTGCAGATGGGATCTGGGGTCCTCTGAGCAGTTTCCGTTGGGTCCAGGCTCTGGCAGGAGCAGGGACCTGTCAGCTTGCAGCCTCAGCAGTCAGTGGAGCTTCTGCAGCAGGACTTGAAGAAGGCCACCCCCAAATGCCCTCTGAGGCTTGGGATGCAGTCTTCCGTCAGTGTATGTGGGATGAGTGGGGGTTGGGGGGAGAGATTCCTTGGTTTGGTCAGGGAGTAGCTCACTATCTGTTCCAAAGGGACTTGGAAAGTAAAGACATAATCCCGGTTCTCATCCCTGACACCGCAGCCTCCTGACAGTGCTGGTTCTTGGCTGTTTAATTCTACCATAGGGACTTTCTCCTATAAACTTGCTGGGTTTACATACAAATCTGCTGTGGACCCGTCCCTTCTCTGGCTCAGTTGCCTCGAATTGATGCTAAGGTCCCACCAGGACTAGAGACTATGCTAAAAACAAGGCAGATAGGGAAAGAACAGGCTTCTGGGGATGGGCGCGGGAGGAACAGGGGTCCACAGATAGAGGAGCCAGAGTGGTCGTGGCTGGTGAGGGGTTGCTTCCTGCTTTGCTGCGTTTTTCTTCAACTGCACAGTAGGAGAGGG